TTTTTTTTTGAGACAGAGTTTCGCTCTTGTTACCCAGGCTGGAGTGCAATGGCGCGATCTTGGCTCACCGCAACCTCCGCCTCCTGGGTTTGGGCAATTCTCCTGCCTCAGCCTCCTGAGTAGCTGGGATTACAGGCACACGCCACCATGCCCAGCTAATTTTTTGTATTTTTTTTTTTTAGTAGAGACGGGGTTTCACCATGTTGACCAGGATGGTCTCGATCTCTTGACCTCGTGATCCACCCGCCTCGGCCTCCCAAAGTGCTGGGATTATAGGTGTGAGCCACCGTGCCCGGCGATCACCAAATTATATTTTATATGAGAAAGCCGAATTACATTATGTAAAAACATGGGCATGTCTGTCTGTGTGTAAGCGCATGTGGATGAGTGGGCTGGGGGCTGGTGGCGATACATTTCATTCTACAGACGTAAGCAGTATTTGAATTTTTATAACAATAGCATATGTGTTTTTTTATGTGATTTACTAGAAACAATTTAATTTCTTGAGTTGTAAAAAGATGTATTTTAAACCCATATAAAGGTACATGAAGATCATTGTCATTCGGAATAACAAACTAGAACAGCAATATAGAGACACAAATAGATATTACAGTACAATATTAAATACTATAATATTCAAGATGATATTAAAATCATATATATCTACATCTATATGCATATAAGAATGTCAATGAATGATATTAATGTCTAAAATTAGATTGTGGTAATTTTTGCAGACCTCTGTGAATATATTAGAAACCATTGACTTGTACACTGTATGTGGGTGTTATTTATGGTATCTGAATTATATCTCAATATCTCAAAGTTCTGTTAAAAAATGAATGGCAGCCAGGCGTGGTGGCTCATGCCTGTAATCCCAGCACTTTGGGAGGTCAAGGCCGGTGGATCACAAGGTTAGCAGTTTGAGACCAATATGGTGAAACCCTGTCTCCACTAAAAATACAAAATGAGCTGGTTGTGCTGGCATGTGCCTGTAATCCCAGCTACTCAGGAGGCTGAGGCAGGAGAATCACTTGAACCTGGGAGGCAGAGGTTGCAGTGAGCTGAGATTGCACCACTGCACTCCAGCCTGGGGACTCTGTCTAAAAAAAAAAAAAAGAGGGCACCTCGGGGGAGAGATTCAAGATGGCTGATCACTAGCAGCTCGGGATTGTAGCTCCCAGTGAAAGCACAAAGAACGAGAGGACACCACACCTTCACATGAATTCTTGTTGCTCACTCACCAGGAGATTCCCAGCGGAGGAGCCCCACGGGTCGCCAGCGCGACTCTTGTGACCGGCGAGGCGGTTTTGCCGGCACCTCGGAGCGTCGGTTCTTGGTGCAGAGTCAGAAAAGCACCATCAATCTTAACGCCGCTGATTTAGTCGGCGCAGTGGGTTGCTCAGATTTCGGCGCTGAGAATCAATAAGTTGGACGTCCACTCGGAAACCCAATTACAAAGACGGTAAATACAAAGACCACAGATGGATAAACCTACAACGAAGGGAAGAAAACAGCCAAAAAAGGCTGAGAATACCCAAGATCAGAATGCCTCTCCCTCAGCAGGGGAACCCAGTTCCTCATCAGCAACGAAACAAGGCTTGATGGAGAACAAGTGTGTTCCAATTACAGAAGCAGTCTTCAAAATGTGGATAATAAGAAACTTCTGTGAATTAAAAGAACTTGTTCAAACCCAATCTAAAGAAACTAAGCACTTTGAAAAAGGTTTGACGAAATGTTAACAAGAATGCACAATTTAGAGAAGAAAATAAGTGAATTGATGGAGCTGAAAAACACAATACGAGAACTACGTGAAGTATGCACGAGTTTTAACAGCCGAATTGATCAAGCAGAAGAAAAGATATCGGAGGTCGAAGACCAACTCAATGAAATAAAAGAAGAAGACAAGATTAGAGAAAAAAGGATAAAAAGGAACAAGCAAAGTCTCCAAGAAATATGGGATTATGTGAAAAGACCTAATCTACGCTTGATAGGTGTACCTGAATGTGACGAAGAGAATGAATCCAAGCTGGAAAATATGCTTCAGGATATTATTCAGGAAAATTTTCCCAACCTAGTAAGGCAGGATAATATTCAACTCCAGGTAATACAGAGAACACCACAAAGATATTCCTCAAGAAGAGCAACTCCAAGGCACATAATCGTCAGATTCACCAGGGTTGAAATGAAGGAGAAAATACTAAGGGCAGCCAGAGAGAAAGGTCAGGTTACCCACAAAGGGAAGCCTATCAGACTTACAGCAGATCTCTCAGCAGAAACCCTGCAAGCCAGAAGAGAGTGGGGACCAATATTCAACATCCTTAAAGAAAAGAACTTTCAACCCAGAATTTCACATCCAGCCAAACTAAGCTTCATAAGTGAAGGAAAAATAAAGTTTTTTGTGAACAAGCAAGCACTCAGAGAATTCATCACCACCAGGCCTGCTTTACAAGAGCTTCTGAAAGAACCACTACACATAGAAAGGAACAAACAGTATCAGCCTTTCTAAAAAATACCAAAAAGAGCATCGATATAATGAAGAATTTACATCAACTAATGGGCAAAATAGCCAGCTAATATTAAATGGCAGTATTAAACTCACATATATCATTATTAATTCTAAATTTAAATTGACTAAATTCCCCCAATCCAAAGACAGACAGGCAATTTGAATAAAAAACTAAAACCCATCGGTATGCTGTATCCAGACCCATCTCACATTCAAGGATACACAAAGACTCAAAACAAGGGATGGAGAAAGATTTACCAACCAAACAGAGAGCTAAAATATATAAATAAAAAGCAGAAGTTACAATTTTTGCCTCTGATAAAATAGTCGTTAAAGCAACAAAGATCAAAAGAAGAAAAGAAGGACATTATATAATGATAAAAGGATCAATGCAACAACAAGAAGAGCTAAAGATCCTAAATATATACGCACCCAATACAGGAATACCCAGACATACAAGACTAATAAAGAGACTTAGACTCCCACACAATGATAGTGGGAGACTTCAACATTAATATTAGACAGATCAATGAGACAGAAAATTAACAACGATATCCAGGACTTGAACTCAGATCTAGAGCAAGTAAACGTAATTAACATTTATAGAACTCTCCACTTTAAATACACAAAATATACACTCTTATCAGTACCACATCATATCAACTTAGAAGTTTAAACGAAATGTAGGTTGGCTCCTTGTTTGTTATTCTCTTCCCTCATTTTCTTTTATGTCTCCATTATTAAGGACAATTATAGGCATACCCATATTTAGACTGCATTCTAGCCCGGGCAATAAAGCAATACCCCCATCCTCTCTCCCTCTTCCTCTTTCTCTTTCTTATTTATTCTTTTTCTTCTTATTAAAAAAAAAAAAAATCTAATCTCCTTTCCTTCTGCCCCACCTTTCCTCCCCATTCTCTCTTCTTAAAAAAAAAAAAAAAAAAAAAAAAAAAAAAAGGCTTGATATTCTAGTGTTAAGTAAGGGATGGTTTATTTAAAACATTAACTAATAGTTTCCAGCAGATTCCCTTATAACAGCAGATTCCCTTATAAAGATTACAGCAGGGATTTCAAGATCACGCACTCTCACATTTTTATAATTTTTGACTATTCTCCAAAGTCTCGAATTCAATGAGGTGAAGGTGGAAGAAAGCATTTAGAAAGCCAGTGGGTACAGGAGAGCTGGTGTGGGGTGAGGCAGAGTGGGGAGAGATGCTCCTTTCAAATGGAAGCCTCTGGAACCCGCAGAAAGCAAGGGTGAGGTGGGGCAATCTTCCTGCAGAGCTACCAGAGAAAGGCTTTAGATCCAACACTCCTGTTCACAAACACAGACAGAGGCATCTGTTTTCTTAAAACAGCTTTTTCTATATTGACACAAAGAAATCATTAAAAGGGGGATATTTTGGTTTAGTTATTTCATCAGATTATTAACAAACAACTTTTGAAACAAAAACCATACAGGTGGAACTCAATAAAATTATTACTTATTCAATAATCTGTATTTGTGGCTCAGATACAGATCGGGAAACCAGCCGTGGATGAAGTGCCCAGCCGTGGATGAAGTGCCCAGCCATGGATGATATCCCAGCCGTAGATGAAGTGCTCATCTGTGGATGATATCCCAGCCGTGGATGAAGTCCTCAGCCGTGGATGAAGTGCTCAGCCATGGATGACATCCCAGCCGTGGATGAAGTGCCCAGCCGTGGATGATATCCCAGCCGTAGATGAAGTGCTGAGCCATGATTGAAGTGCTCAGCCATGGATGACACCCCCAGCTGTGGATGAAGTGTCCAGCCTTGGAGACACCACCAGCTGTGGATGAAGTGTCCACCCGTGGAAAATGCCACCAGCTGTGGATGAAGTGTCCAGCCTTGGAGACACCACCAACTGTGGATGAAGTGTCCAGCCATGGAAGACGCCACCAGCTGTGGATGAAGTGTCCAGCCGTGGAAGACGCCACCAGCTGTGGATGAAGTGTCCAGCCGTGGAAGATGCCCCCAGCCGTGGATGAAATGTTCAACCGTGGAAGATGCCCCCAGCCGTGGAAGACGTCCCCAGCTGTGGATGAAGTGTTCAGCCATGGAAGACGCCCCCAGATGTGGATGAAATGTCCAGCCGTGGAAGATGCCCCCAGCCGTGGAAGACACCTCCAGCCGTGGATGAAATGTCCAGCTGTGGAAGACGCCCCCAGCCTACAACCGGTGGAGGGCAGGGGCTGCCTGCCACCTCCTGATCTACAGTAAGAGTCAATGAGCAGGCAAGTGAATACTGAAAACCATTCATCCTGCTGGAGTGAGAAATAAATGGTTTCTTTCAATACGGTGGTAAAATCCATCTTTTCCAATCCATTTATATGACTCAAGGCCCATCTCAATTTCAGATGTGGTTAGCCTCAATTCCTCGTTCTCACCGATGTGTGTAATATCTTCCATGGCCCAGTGCAAAGGAACACAGGTGCTGCCGTCAGACTGCCAGGTCCGATCCCGCCTCCGTCACTCACCCCGGGAGATCCCTTTAATCTAGGGGTCAACAATGAGGATGGAAACATGACTGCTTTTTAAAGTCCTAAACGTTCAGAGGATGACTGTTAATTTCTCCTGCACCCCTGGGCACGCACCAGGAGAACTTTGTCTCCAGGTTCAAGTCAGTCCCTGCGAGAGGGTTGTGTCCCTCAGATTCTGTTCACCATGGGTGGCACTTGATTCAACCCCAAACCTCTTTTGCACAAGCCCAGGGAGTGCTGATGAACCCCACTCAAAGGCTGTGGTGTTTGGCAGAGACAGGAAGGGAAAGGCCAGGTGTTTTGGGAAAGATCCCCTTTAGATAACACGGCACCCTCGCAGCCCAAAGGGCCAGTTCTTACTATTATGGCAATCAACTTAGAAAAGACCAAACCCAATTTTACACATATTTCCTTTTTCTTTTTGATTTCATGCCCCCTCTCTCAGCCTCCCAGGCAGCATGGATACCCTGAAGTCCCTGTGAACCCTCTCCCATCGGATCCTACGTGGAATGTAGTTTTACCCACCTGAAAAGTCGTCCTCGGACAGGCTCTCAAGAACCAAATCTTTGGAAACACAAACATCAGGTAAGTCATTAGAGAGCGGTCCACCCACTCCTCCTACTCCAGCTGAAGCCATGCTGTTTTGCACAGCATCCCCTGGTGTTTTCTCTGGGCATACAGATATTCCTACAGCCTCTCTGGGCATTGTTCTATACTTGCAAAATCATTTGCTCTCACCAGACCCCAAATCATCCTTCCCAAAAAGATCCCAGAATCAGGTTTCTGTACCTTAGAGACAGTGTATTTTCCCTCAGAAAGTGAGTTATTTCAGGGTACATACCAGTCTCCAAGACATACGGTGTCTGCAATTATAGAAAAGAAAACATTGAGTGGGGGGGGGCGAGCTGATGCCATGCATGTCACACAGATCTGATATTCTCTCAACAACTTCAGAAAATTACAAGGGGTATAGTGATTGAGTCAAAGGTTGAAGTCCCCCCAAACTAGCACAGAGGACACCTATGGAAAAGGCAAGACCTTTTCCCAGAGAATTTATCTTTAAAGTATATTTAGATTGGCAGTTTCACAATTCTTAATCCACGGGGACACTGTTGTGGAGGGAAACACCTCTGCATTGCAGTGGATCGCGGATGCTGCCATCTACCATGCCCCAGTGTGCCTGGCATGGGTTGGCGCGAGGCTGCCAATCAATACCACTGCACCAAGGGAATTGCAGAAGTCATTAATAATGCACATTGGCAGATGTTTTTATCTATATCTGATTGGAAAGAAGCCAGGAAAATAACATTTCTCTTCAAGACAAAGAAAAGTGTCTTATTCTTACGTGGGCATCTTCTTTTTCAGAGATATCTTCTCTGGCGTCTTTATTAGTGATGTCTTCTACAAGATCTTCCACATCATCCTCGCTAGTGATGTCTTCTAGAACACACTCGTTAGTAATGTCTTTCACAGCTTCTTCATTGGTGATACCTTCCACAGCATCTTCATTAGCAATGTCTTTGTCAGCATCCTCAAGGGGAACTAGGAGAACACGGAGCAGAGGTCAGTGCCCTGGTGGTGGAGACTGAATCACCCATGGAGCTTGCTTGGTGTGGTGCATGAAGGTGGCTGGTCACCGCATGGGCCGAGCTGATGGTGGGCCGCCCTCCCGGGTGGACCTGCACTAGTGAAGCTAAGGGACATGACTCAGAACACTTTCCGCAGTGGGAATCAGTTTCCAGGTCCAGATATGCATTATCCAGTGAAATGGGGAAATATAAAAAAAATAGAATTTGACAAATTCACGAAAAGCCTTCCGGGAGTACAAATGTGATTTTTTTGTTGTTGCTGTTAACCACCTTATATTCGGCATGCATTCAGACATACAAAATATCTTTACAAGAAATCAGAAATGTTAATTGTTGTCAGTTATGTTAAATCTAACTTAGCTGTCAACATAAAGATGGCCCGGTGTGGTGGCTCACGCCTGTAATCCAAACACTTTGGAGGCCAAGGTGGGTGGATCACCTGAGGTTGGGAGTTCAAGACCAGCCTGACCCACATGGTGAAACCCTGTCTTAAAAAAAAAAAAAAAAAAAAAAAATTCTAGGATTCTATCTCATTTACTTTGTGGTCTCCAGAAAATCTAGCACATAAGAAGCAGACCAAAATGTTTTTTAAATGACCAACACAGAGCAGGGGTAGTGGGGCTGGTAGGCAGATAGGGCTGCACTGATTATCTGAATGATCATAAACTTCACAAAACCTTGGTCGGATTAATGCTGAAACTGCCTTTTGCTTGGGCTATTTTCCATTGCGGAAGAAGGATGACCAAGAAGATGAACAGGAGAGAACTGAGAAACAGCAGCCTTTGCTTAGTAGCTAAAGGCCACCTTCTGTCACACAAAATGTCTACAAGTGGCCTTGAACTCTGCTGTGGTTCAGTGGCAGAGTTCCCTCCTGTCTTCTACCCACGTTGAAGTCCAGTGAAATTGCGACCGTCTTCTTTACAACTTGTGAGACCGGGCTGTTCTGCATTTACCTGTTGTGTGATATTTACACTTGCTTCAAAGCAGCGTTTTGTTTCACCTGGGCTGGTGAAACAGCCCAGGAGGAGGCTTGGGTTGAGGCTGAGGGTCTTCAACCCGCATGCACAAGCGAGTTGCCACGAGGGGATGGAAACCAGGCTACCACCCAAGTGCTGCACAGAGTTCCTGCCTGTCCCTCTCCTCACCATTTTCAGCTGGCAGGGCTTGAGCATTTTAGGGCTTGGGAAGATACTACTACTAAATCTACTAAAATACATCACTAATCCTTATAGGCTTTGGCCAGTTGCCGAGCAAATTAACTTCACAACTGAAGTGGGCCGCACTGGCCTGCACAGTCCCCCAGTCCTCTTAGAATCTGTGGGCTGGGGGCCTGCTGGAGGGTGGACGGTGGGAGGAGGGGGGGGATCAGGAAAATAACTGATAGTAGGCTTAGCATGTGGATGATGAAATGATCTGTTATGACACGCATTTACATAACAAACCAGCACATCCTGCACATGTACCCCTGAACTTAAAATGAAAGTTTAAAAAAGGCTGGGCACAGTGGCTAATGCCTGTAATCCCAGCACTTTGGGAGGCCAAGTTGGGCCGACCACAAGGTTAAAAGATCGAGGCCATCCTGGCCAATGTGGTGAAACCCCATCTCTACTAAAGATACAAAAATTAGCTGGGCATGGTGGTGTGCGCCTATAGTCCCACCAGCTACTCGGGAGGCTGAGGCAGGAGAATCGCTTGAACCCCGGAGGCAGAGGTTGCAGTGAGCTGAGATCACACCACTGCACTCCAGCCTGGTGATAGAAAGAGAATCCATCTCAAAAAAAAAAAAAAAAAAGAAAAGTTAAAAAAAAAATAAAAGGATCTGTGAGCTGACCCAAATAATTGGGGATCTTTGTGTTTTTTTATTTTATTTTTTTAAGATGGGGTCTCACCATGTTGGTCAGGCTGGTCATGAACTCTCAACCTCAGGTGATCTGCCCACCTTGGCCTCCAAAGTGCTTGGATTACAGGCATAAGCCACCACGCCTGGCCCCTCTTTGTGCTTTTGACACTGATGGCTATGCCCGTCTGTGGGGAGATGGGCCTACAACTTCCCTGGGTTGTGTGACCACAGAGGCCACTTTAAAATGATGGGCAGTGTCTGGGACCTCCTTAGGGCTTATACATGAATGCTGGACTCCCTGCGTGGTGGCGAACACCCCCTGACTAAGAGCATGCCAGTAGTTGCCAGTGTCAGCACAGGCCCATACTCCTGGGTTTGTGTTTTCACTTTTTCATTCAGGAGTTCGGGAGCTGGGATCACTCATTGGCCCTTCAGGGTCTCCACCTGAGCAGTGAGGATAATCAATGGCTCTGGTGAGGGTGGAGGAGTCACTGTACAGACAGAGTAGAGTGGGGCTGGATTTTAGTTTTTAGAAGTGGACACTGGCGAATGGGCTGTGTAAACGGGAAGTCTCTCCTGAGAACACACACAGCCTCTCCTGCACAGAAGCTCCACATTCACATCACATGATGCAGCCTCACACGAGACACCGCCAATCCTCACGCACCCAACTCAGTGCCACCCAAAAGCAGCTGCTTTGGCCATAATTTTTCAAAATGTGGCCATACTTTTTCCCTGGGGAATTCAGTTTTTGAAAAACACTTCCGCGATGCTTATTCCTATCACAATCCCAGAATCAGGGTGGCTCTTCACATTGAAACCAGCAACGATGCCACACCTTTCTTGGCATCCAGGTTTTTTTTCTCAGCAAGTAATTCCAGAATACTTACTAGAATCACACCTCAGAGGGACCACCGGCTTCACCTGCAACACGGAAACAAAGCTTTGTGAGGAGTACGTCGTGTTGTGGATTGCTTGCACAAGGCTCTGTTTCTCTCAGTGACTATTGAAAACTTGATCAGAAAGTGGTCAACTCCAAGGCTCCCAAAACAAGGGTGGGATACACGTTGGAAAAGACGTCGGCTTCTCCTAGGCGTTATATATCTCTCAGGTCTATGTAGCTTGGCAAGTCAAAACCCTGAATCCAAGGAGAATACGTTGCTTCCATGGACAAGGACCGCAAGGATGCAATCTACAACCTGGAGCCGTCACATGCAAATACCATTTTGGATTACATATCAGTTGCTAAGAGTCACTTCTGCCACCCCCTCAGAAAACTGCATTTAATATCTGTAATGTACATTATCATTTTTTCACATGCAAAGTTAATTGAAAAAGAAAGATGCCAAGAAAGGAACATCTGTATTTCAGGGAAAGCAAGGCAATCTTACCCACACGTCGACCGGCCTCTCTGCATCTCCTCTGCCGTCGTGAGCTGGGGACTCCTCAGAGGCTAGAAAGGCACAGAGCAACCGTTAGTCATAGATGCTTTTGTTCATGAGCTATTCAGGGAACTCTGCTTAACGTGGACAACAGGAGAGTGTGTGGATGTGTTTCATCAACAGCACAGCTTGAGCTGCTGCTAGAAAATCTTCCCTCATGGAAAGACAGGCAAGAACGAGGAGCCGAGGAGCAAGAAACAGAGTCCCTGGCATTTTGCTAATGGCAACTTAAGGCAACAGGAATGAGTCAGTTTACAAATGGTACTGAAGCACACGCTATAATTTGATGAGAGTCCCATTGCTCATACCACGGGGTTTGAAACCCAGATAACTATTTCTCTACGATAAAACAATATTAGCTTGTAGGATTTATGTCCCAAGGCCATTTTTACCTCTGTGGATCCACACTGGCTGTCACTGCAGTTATGTGTTTTAGCATTTTGCACTTGAATAAAAGCAAAGTTTAATAGACAGATTGGATTCAATTCTAGGCAAAACAGTGTCTTGTATTTATTCACTAATCCTTTGTTATAACTGCTGATGGGAGAATTAGAAATACTGAAATTATATCCTTCAAAATTAATTAAAGCATAATTATTAATCACACAATATCTTTTCATCCAGACCTCCTTTTCTTTGTCATCCATGCACGTTAATTGAGTATGGAGAATATCTATGCTTGTTCAGGCCAGCCAATGCAGGACTGTGTATTTCAAGAGAGGAGGCGTGGGTTGAATGCTGGTATGTTTTAACCCTGCAGTAGAAACAGTTGTTGCAACAAGTATGGTGAATTCATCACCGAATGGTTCTTTGCTTCCTTATTTGTCATTGTGCCTTACATTTAGCTTGCAGGATTTGGTTATGGTGATATCTTGCGGTGATAATACTTTCAACTATTCCTAAAATATTGCTTCAGTCTTATCTGTTTGAGGCCAACTGCTGAGGATTTCACACACATTAATGAAGTTTGTGCATCTGAAGCTCTACATAAAGGGGGAAATACTTACAAATCATTTATCTTGTAAGACACTAAAATTTAGTATATATTTTAAAATATATAAAATATATTTTATATTTTATATATTTTATGTATTTTATCCTCAAAATCTACAACAACAAACAAACTAAATAAAAATCAGACAACTCCTTAAAAATGGGCAAAAGACTTGAACATATATTTCCCTAAAGAAGAAACACACACAGACAATCGCACAGGAAAAACTTCTCAGCATGATTAGTCATTAGGGAAATGCAAATGAAAAACACAAGTAGATGCCAATATACACCTACTAGGATGATTTAAAAGAAAATGAGTGTGGACAAGGATGTAAAGAAATTGTAACCCTGATACATCGCTGGTAGAAGTGGATAAAGTTGCAGCCACTGTGAAAAACAGTTTGCAGTGGCATGGAAGGTTAAATATAAAACTCCCATTGGACCCAGGAATTCTACTCTTAGGCATATACCCCAAATAATAGAAAACGGAAATCAAATAGGCATTTCTATACTAATGTTCATAGCATCACTTTTCACAGGCACCAAAATATGGAAATAACCCAACTTTCAGCAAACAAACGAGCGTATCTAAAACAAGGTGGTCTACAGGCAATGTTGCATCATCCACCTGTGAAAAAGGAACAGTTTTGATAGATGACACAACATAGGTGGACACTGAAAACATTATGCTTAGTGAAATAAGCCAGGCACAAAAGGGATATCTTGTATAATTTTACTTATATGAAGTGCCTAGGATAATCAAATTCATACAAGAGAAGCTAGGATAGGAATTACCATGGGCTGGAAATAAGAGAAGGTACTATATTGCTTATTGCATACAAGGTTTTATAAGAAATAATCAAAATTTTGGGTGTAGACAGTGGTGTTGGTTATGCAACACTGTGAATATGCTGAATGCCACTGAGTGAACACTTTGGTTAAAAGGTTAAAATGATGAATATTGTGTTACGTGTATTTTCCCACAACCGAAAACACGCACAGCCAAGCCCAGCTGCCAGACTTGCTGTCTGCCTTCGTTTACCTTCAAGAGTGGGCCGAAGCTCCTCTAGTCTCTCAGGGAGGTTGGGAATTCTGTTATTGAAGAACTCTGCATTGGAAGAGAAATTAATGGAGTCAGGAGAAAACTTGAGAATCCACACTTCTCGCTCCGCAGGGCCAAAAACTATCTCCCCCGTGCATTGCTGATCTATCTCAGTATTTCCTGCAACCACCTCCATTTTCACCTGAAGACTTTGCACGTGAAGGGGCTCCCAGGTTTTTCACCTTGGCCCTTGTCAGGACTGATCCTCTCAGCTACTGTCCATTGCACCTCCATTCATGGCCATGTCACCTCAGGCTGTGTTGTCTAGATGGAATGAAGCCACCCCAAATGTCCCTTTCTGGAGGAAGCCACCATTATGCTGTACCTCCAACACATCCACACACACAGAGGCATCTCGCTCACACAAGGTGTGTGTCCTCCAACAAAGTTTCACACTTTAAACCCAGATAACTTTGAAACTCAAGTTTCATTGATTCCCCCCAACTTCAGGTGCTCCATAGGTGCTCATTTGTCTACAAAACACTGCCCCAGGCAATTAAATAGTCAAATGTGACCAGCAGAATTTTTATATTAATTCTGACATTGTGTTTTTAGTACAAGTGTTTTTACCCCTTAAAATGTATGTCTTTGTTACTAATACATGTAACTAATAATGCTTTTTCCAGCTATGTTGCTAAGCACATTTATATAAAAATATACTCTTAGATTGTTTAGAGAATTTGACAAAGATGATAGCAACAATGACAGTCTTGTTTTATATTAATCTTTATGTGTTACTGTTATCATTTCTTACATGTTGGGGCATACCATATATTGTACAGTGAAAATTAGTGCTGTGCACTATGGTAGGGCTAGAAATTGGCAAAGTTAGTTTACAAAAATAGTTCTCTAGTTCTTAAAAAAAATTAGGCTGGGCACGGTGGCTCACACCTATAATCCCAGCACTCTGGGAGGCAGAAGTGGGTGGATCACTTGAGGCCAGGAGTTTGAGACTAGCCTGGCCAACACAGCAAATCTCTATCTCTACTGAAAATACAAATATTATCCGGGTGTGGTGGCATGTGCTGCTTGTCCCAGCTACTCAGGAAGTCGAGGCATGAGAATCGCTTAAACCCAGGAGGTGGAGGGTGGAGGTTGCAGTGAGCCAAGATCGTGCCACTGCACTCCAGCCTGGGTCTCAAAAAAAAAAAAAAGAAAAATTGACCACAATGTCATTATGCATTATATGACTGTATATGAATGCTCAAAGCTTCATTACTCCTTATAAAAAAAAAAAAATAAAAAATAAATGTCCATCAAATGATAAATGAATAAACATTATCTGTATGAATAAACACAGCAGACTATGAAGGAAGACACACTACCACTATGTGCTAAAGCATCAATTAACTTCAAACATGGTATACTACATGAAGGAAGTCAGAGTCCAAATATATGTATACATATATATATATATATATATATATATATATATATATATATATCTGTAAGACACAGAGCCTGCCCTTGGTCACAGGCGGTGGGTGCAGACTCTGAAGATGCACTTCAGTCAGAGACCCCACTGAGCTCTGTCTACTGAGGGCCTCTGTCCTGTCTGCTGACCACGGTCCACAGGTGCAGGCTGCATTGGGGAGTAAGAATGTCATCTTCTCAATGTTGGGAAAACTCCCTGCCGGAACTGAGAATGGCCCTTTCTAAGCAGAAGGCAAGGTCAGACTACAGAAGGAGGCAGACTACATCAGGTTGGTATATTGCCAGAGATTCACTCAGGGAGTGCCCACATCCTGGGCCACCTTGCGTGGTGGCAAGATGAGATAGATGACCGCTTTTGCAACACACACCTGACAACAAAAAATCAACAACTGTAAGAGAGCCAGAAGATCCCCAAATATTTGCAAATTAGCAATGCACTTTTAAATAACTCATGTCAAAAAAGAAGTATCAAAATTAAAAATACCTTGAATTTCACTAAATGAAAATATGACTTGACAATTTTTCTGGATGTAACAAAAGCAGTTCTTAGAGGGAAATTCATAGCATTGGATGCAATATATTAAAAATCACCAGATCTAAAATCAATAATATTATGTTTCTATCAAGAAAGTGTAGAAAATAAATGAATGCAATGTAAAGCAAGTAGAAGTAGTAATAACATCACAGAAGTCAGTAAAATTAAAACACTGAAATCATCAGAAAATCAATAAAACCAAAAGCTGGTTCTTTGGGATGCTGCTTACAATTAATGAAAATCTACGCAGGCTAACAAAGAAAAAAAGATAACACAAATTACCAATTTCACAAATAAAAGAGGACCCATTTCTACTGAACTGTTGGCATTAAACGAATAATCAAGGAATCTTATGAACAATTCTATGACCACAGTTTGATAACCTCAGTGAAATGTATTAATTCCTTGAAAAGCAATCTTCCCAAGGTCACACTAGAAACCCAGATCATCTGAATAAGCTTATGTCTATTAAGTAAGTTGAATTCACATTAAGAGCATGCTGGGGAAAAAAAAGCACCAGACCCAGATGGTTTCTCTTATGAAATCTATCAAATTCTTCAAGAGGTGAATAAAAAGACAAAAATCCATTTAATGCAATATTATTTGGTGATTTGATGTGCCATTTAATGCCATTAAGGCATACAAAAGACATAAAGGAAGCTTAAACATACATCGATTTAGTGAAATGAATTCATCTGGAAAAGCTACGTAACATATGATTCCAACTATATGACATTCTGGAAAAGGCAAAACTGAAGCAACAATAAAAATATTAATAGTTGCCAAGGTTTCTGGAGAAAGAGGACAGAGATTAATGAGTGAGAAGAGGGAATTTTTAGGGAGGTGGACATGTTTTTTACAACACCATAATGGTGAACATAATGTTATAGATATTTCAAACTTCATATAAATGTATAACAGAAAGAATAAACATTATGCAAATGATAGACTTCAGATAATAATGTGTCAATATTTTCTCACTACTTTCAGCAAATGTACCACAGTAATGTAAGATGTTAATAAAAGGTGATATCATGAAGTGGGCTTGGGGGGACAGAATAATACCGGAACTTTGTGTATCACATGCTCAATTTTTTTTTCACAAAGGTTCAATCTTGTTACCCAGGTTGGAGTGCAATGGCACAATCTCAGCTCACTGCAACCTCCGCCTCCCGGGTTCAAGCGATTCTCCTGTCTCAGCCTTCTAAGTAGCTGGGATTACAGGTGCCTGCCACCACGCTTGGCTAATATTTTGTATTTTTAGTAGGACGGCATTTCACCATGTTGGCCAGGCTGGTCTCCAACACCTGACCTCAGGGATCCACCTGCCTTGGCCTCCTAAAGTGCTGGGATTATAGGTGTGAGCCACAATGCGCAGCCATATGCTCATTTTTTATGTCAATTTAAAACTCCAGTTAAAGAAATATACGAATTTAAAAATAATAATATAGCACCACTCTTTCAGGGAGATCTATGCTAATGTTTAACAACCAGGTAAGTTCTAGACATTAGCTTGAAACACTGTCTATCACTAAACATGAACCAAAATTGACATTTAAGTGGATATTTACTTCTGTGGTTGTAGCAACACTTACTGACTAGCAATACTTCTGACACATTAAAAAATATGGCTTACTCTCATCATCGTTTCCTCTTACGTATGGAACACTGAATACTCCCCACAATTGCGATTCCTGAATCTACTTAATTAATGAACTTCCACAGTACCTTCCTGTGGGTACATCTGCTTCTTTACCCAGAAGCCGCGATGCTTCCCATGCCTGGTGGAGTACACGCTGTATCTTCTTAAAACCTCTATCAGAAAAGATGCTGGTTAATGCATTTACAATAGAGAGGGCTGTTGACATCTTGCTGACAGAGGGAAAATAGTGATAATCTGTTCCAAGTTTAAATTTATGATCCTGTTCTTTACAGGCTTCCATGCAGAGCCCGCTGACTCAAAGTCGGGTTTCAGGAAGATCATGGAGTTTGGTGAACACGCAACATCCCTATCAGACCGACTGTATGGGCAGTGCCTTCCTGGAGAAGAGAATACAGCAGGTTGGCTGCATGTGGGGCTGCTGCAGAGCGGGGGCCCAGATCCAAATTCCACTAAGCCACGTGGACCTGGCAAGCTCATGCCGTCCTCCTGCCCTCAGTTCTCTGCACTGTCATAATGCAATTTTGCCAATACTTACAGGCCCTACTTCTTCGTATCACAGTATGAGGCTAAAAAGTCACTAAATGCAGGAAAACCTTAAAGAGGACTGGTAGTTCAGTAGTGTTGTCTCAGTGTTTACTAAGTACCAGGAGGAATAAGCTGGACACTTAGTAGTGGCTGAATACGGAGAGGGTGCTTGGATGGCTCCGGAGCAGTGGAGCATGGTTTACTGTTCAGCTTTTATGTGAGCATGATGCCTTATGGCGTAAGGAGAACATCAGCCCCGCAGGGAGGGCAGAGGAGGGATCATGGCTGAGATTTTACACTTGAGGATGCTGACATTAGAGATGATAAGGGACGAGCAGAAGCCCGACCCTGATGAGTGAAGGATCTGGGATGGGAAATGTATTTGGTTCCTTAGAGACAGAGATTCCTGAACAACTGACAGCCCTACATCATGCCCTGGGCCACAGACCCAAGAGACCCCTTCACTGTGTTTCTCCAGTCCTCCTAGCCCGAAGTGTGTGGGTGGACACAGGTGATGCTATGGAAAAGATGCCCGAGTTAAGGAGAGGTCCTTCACTATAAAGAATCCTCCTTTCTCTGTCTTTCACATCCCTCCCAATATGACAGTTTATTTAAAGGCTGTCATCTTTGTGGCCTTCCTCCCCCTCTATTTACCCTGTCAGCTGCCCCTCAGTGACCATCTCCTCCAGTGACTACACTGAGGGCCCAGTGTCTGCTTGCCTCCCAAGACTGCTCAGACCTTCTGACATTGCAAAGTAACTGTCAAAAGATGGGTCTGCAAAGAGTAACTTCCCTTCCACTGATCAAACCTGAATACACAAGCTACTGTGAATTAACTGGAAAAGTGGCCATGTGGGCTGGTGCTTTGGTGGTTTAATTAATTAAGTCTGCAACTCTGAATGCCTCCTTGACTATTGATCAGAGCCGCCTGTAATAAGGTCTGGCTAACAATGGGCAGTGGCTGCACCAGCAATGGGTGTGCGCTTTCTCGTCTCATTCTTTTCACATCAAAATTCAGTTTCTAATTTACAAACTCCACATCCATCCCTAGACCCTATTGTGGCAGAGGACAAAGTCCTGTCTCTTCTTAGAGAGACCTCTCCATAGCCCACTCTGACGTTCACCCAAGCTCTTCTTTTTCTGTCACCAAATGTCCCTTCCATGAACCCAGTGGCCTGCCTCTCTTCTCCCACCTCTTTAACAGTGATCTCAGAAAGCCGCTGATTCTCTCCCCATGAACCCCATGGAAATCCCCCCATAAAATCCCATTTTTCTTCCTTTCTGAAAAAAAATGTCTGAGGCTAGATTGCTAATTTTTGTTTTCAGAGTTTGACATCTACCTTCAGAAAAACGTTTCTGTCCTTCCCCTTTTCTGTAATGTCTGTTATTGCAGGAGTACAACCAAGATTCTCTGGAAACAACCAAGTAATAAGGCTGTGCCTACTCTGTGTATTCTCTGGAAGTGTCTTCACAAGATTGGTGTTATGTTTATTTTACTATTTTGTAGAAATAAAAGGAAGCCACATGGTCCTGATATTTGCATTGTCAGTTTTAAAGATTCTTATATTTTTAGTTGTCTTTGTCAAAACTCTAGATTTTTTTAAATGTACATCTTGATGTTTTCTTCTAGATACTATAAACATGTGTATTACCCACATTATTTATTTCTCTGCATTCTTCTGTGACCCCCGATTGCTCTCAGAGAAATCCTAAATCCAGAAATGGA